CCCCATAAGCCCATGTGGTTAGGTAGAGGATATATACCATTTTTTTTTAAGTCCATAGTATCTGGAAGTTAGAAAGGAAATGTTCAATAAATTTTGACAATTAGACAAATTCCACAGTTTAGAAACTCGTGTCTTATTATGAGGGATCATCGGAAGCAAATTGAAAGGGGGAGGCGAAACCAACAATGCCTATATAATGTCTATTTTTTGCAAATAAAGTGAGGGGGCGGCTTAGCCCCCCCCCCCGTCCCTCCGGTTCCGACGCCTATGGGGATAATAAGATGATACTAAAGTTTGATAAAAATGTCTTGAATGGATTCTTCAAACTGAAGGTCGCCCGTGTGGCACAGTGGTTAGAGCATCTGTTCTACACTAAGGTTTGGATGAGACCATATAAATCGAGTCCCGTGTCGCAGTACATGCTGGGACGAAAAAGTTTCCTCGCCGCTCACTGCTTAATTGCCCTGTATGCGGAGTGCAGGTCCAAAAATTTGCAGTCGTCAATCCAAGGTTAAGTGAGAAGAGGGACATAACACAGGAGCTCTTTCCGCCCCAGTAGATTTGCTCAATGACAAAGACTCGGCCAATAACGGCAACTGTAAGTCACCTTTGTGACTGTTAATCGTAGCAGATGAACTGCTTTGGACTCTAATGTCCTCAGACGATTTATCTGACTGGTTCATATCAAACCACTAAAAATTGTCCCAAAGTTAAAAGTTCACAATGGTTGAAGGTGAAGGTGGAAACTGGTGGAACAAAGCCACTAAAAAATCGGATAGCATCCGATGTTAAAGCATCGTTCTGTTCGGGTAAAAACGATAATAACATATAACATAAAATCCAAAATCAAAATTCCATAAATCTAGGTCACGTAACTTAAATAAATAGTTAATATTTTGGGAAAAATCCACTGTCAGAAAGTTTACTATTGTTGCTGAATCAAGACGACTTTTATCACTGAATCACGTGAACCTACGTCACATCTCATGTGAATCCTCAGTATGGTTGATTTGGTAGAATAAGATTTGTCGAGGGCTGCGGAGAATGAACGTCTTCTTGCTTTTGTTGAATCATTTATTGAACATTCTAGTAGATTTCCTAGTTATAATATGTATTTCAATATAGCAGCACGCTGTATATGTATATGTGCAAAATTACTTGTAGTACTCTTTTGCAAATATTGTATTCTTTTAAAATAACTTCATTTCTAACTATGACAATTTCAATTTTTAATGTACATGTAGGGAGAAGGGTTGTGGTAAGTTTACAGAACTTGTGCCCAATCCCGTTGAATTATAAATTGCAATAAAATGTGTTCAAACCAAACATGCAAGATTTACATTCAATAAAATTATACTAAAGTATACGTAATAGTTACTATTCAAAATCTCTCCAGGTCAAGTAGGACAGTTTAGTGGAACAGATTATCATGATGTGATTTAATTGTTAATGACTGTAGAATTAACTCAAATTTTCTTCATTTTTCATGGGGGTTGGATGACGTATGGGGTTTAAATTTCATTATCTCTTTCAACTGTTAGACATCTATAAACAAATATTGCTTGCATAATCTTGTATTTGCAACAGTTAGCTAAATAATTCATGTGTAGTTTTAGATAGAAATATGGAATACTTTTATATTTGAAATACCGGGTACTTGTATGCACATTTAAAATGCAGTAAATATGCTAAAAAAAAGAATCACATTTTAAATGTACAAATTTGTTGTGCTGCTGAATTTTGCATCTACAATAATACCATATGAAAGTGATGTTTGATTGATTGATTGTATATTGTTTAATGTCCCTCTCGAGAATTTTTCACTCATATGGAGACGCTGCCACTTGTCGGTGGAGAGCTGCATTTTTTGTCTTACATGTATACTTGCTCTTAGGGTCATTGATTAGGGAGGGATCTTTTTCGCGCCAGAACCTACTACGATACGGGACCTCAGTTCATACGGTCTTATCCGATCGACCGGTCTCCACATGGAAGTCGAACCCACGATGTAAGGATCAAATCTTTTCTTCGCGAACGTAGAGAAGACGCTCTAACCACTGTCCCGCGCGGGCGACAGGTGATGATTGAATATTACTAAAGAAATGAGGGAAGATAAGCAGATAATTTACATACGAATTATTGAACATTTCTATCCTAAACTTAAATTTCTCGTTAGCTCGATTTTCGACAAACTTTCTTTGTTCAAATTATTTTTACCCTAAATTTTATTCACCGAATGGAAACCCGGCAAATGTGAACATTTGATAGAGGATCCCTACGCTTTTGTTGTGAGTTATACACACAAATAATCTTACGTTGATGTTAAAAAGATGCTTGAGTTCACCATTATGTAGTCTTTCAAGATCAAATTTTCCAACAAACTGTTCGAATTCCGATGAGCAATACTTTTGCTCTTTGATAAGTTTTTTTATTGCTATGAAGCAGAATTTATTCAAAAACTTCTACAAGAGAATTAATTCTACAAAATATTAAATTGCTATGGCCTTCAATTTGACATTCAGATATATTTACTATGTTTAATGAATTACCAGTTATTCATAGGACTTATGAATTGAACATTGACCATTGAACTTAAACAACAGCCACCACAGATTATGCCGCATTGGATTTATATTTGGATGTTTTACTGACTACAGGTGATAAGGGCCAACTAACAACACACAAGATGACTTCAACACAATCGCAACTTCTCGGGCCTTTCCAACTAGCGGAAAAACGACCTCGAATGTATATGGTAGACGCCATTACAACCCTCCCTTTTTCATGATCTTTGAAATACATGCATGGAGACCTTTTATCTGTGGGATATGGAGTTTATCTTAATTCAATGTAATGATATTACCTAGAAATATACTAAAAAAGGGACTTCTAACTCAGTCTATCATATATTTGAATAAACAGGAAATGTATATATTTTTAACATCCGGTGATGTTAACACATTTGAGGTTGTTTTTCCGACCTCTGACGGAAAGATCCGAGATGATGCGATTGAAAACGACCTCGAATGTATATATGGTAGACTCCATGACAACCCTCCCTTTTCACAATCTTTGAAATAAAAGCCTGGAGACCTTTTATTTGTGGATTATGGAGTTTAACTTTATTCAATGTAATGCTATTACTTCAAAAATACTAAAGAAGGGACTTCTAAATCCATCTATCATATATTTGAATAAACAGGAAATGTATAAATTTTTATCATCCGGTGATGTTAAGACATTCGAGGTTGTTTTCCAACCTCTGACGGAAAGACCCGAAATGATGCGATTGGACTTCAACATTTCCATCGTCAACTCTCCTTATTTGTGTCGTAATATTCCACTTTCACCTGCATGTGGTGTTTATGCCTCCCAACTTTTTCGCTACTCAAAAATCTGCTCTGAGTACGATCAAGTTCAGAGCGAGACAGGCTATTCATCGATAAGCTGATGTTACAAAGACTTCAACATTATTGGGTCGTATTTTCGCTGACTTGTTTCCTACTAAATATAAGGCCTTCATTTTTAAACACGATTTGACTACCCAATGTGTCCTTGATAAATTCAAAGTGGGTGTGGCCGTCCTCGATACCCGTAGGTACTTAGTCCCACCTCTGGAATTTCCAGGGTCCTTGTTTTATGCCCTTTTTCATATTTGTATAGTTTCTAGATTTCGGAGTTTGATCACTGTTCGTATTTTCACCTTTTGCATTTAACAGACATGATTATTGTTCGTTATTTACTATTCGATTTTATATGTATTTGGAATTGAAAATTTGAAAGAATATTAAATCTTAACGTAGAATTAATTTTATGCGCCTCTTTTGAAGACTATTTCCAAAATTTTTTCCTGAATTTAGATAAATGAGGGGTATGTAGATAACGAACAGTATTCAATACTGTCCATAAAAGTCCATAAAACAATACAAAATAGGAGCAGATCAAACACGGTCCTTTAAGATATCAGGGTAGGGATCAGGTGCCACCTAGGAGTGAGCATCCCATGCCTACCGGTCACACCCGCCATGTGTGTCTTGTACATATCCGGAAAAACGGAAAATCCATCGTCAATTCTGTTTATCAATAATGAACTAACAATTAGCATGAAAAAAAACCGTCAATAATCATTGTACTCAATGAAAAATTGTATTTGCTGACAAATTCGTTCTATCGACCACAGAACTTACGAAATGATGACTTAAAACGAGACTGCTGATAGAAATGTTATATTTAAGCAAAAAATGGCGTTTGTATTGTGTTGTCTTATTGATAAAAAATATCCGAGAAAATTCTGAATAAACATTTATTTGTTATAAATTTCATGTATATGTATGTATATAAAACATTTGTCATAAGTTTTGCAAATTAATCTGTAGCTAGATCTAGGAAATATCTTTGAAAGAAAATCACTATATGATCAGTCATAGAAATATTTCAATATCCATTGTGTGCAGTTTGTTAGCTTTATGCTTTTCCAGATTCTTCACTCTTCCTTTCCTGCAAGCATAAATTTAAGAAAAATAGCATGGCATAAGATTTTGATTGATAAAATTAGAATAAGTATATCGAATAGCAATTTTATGAAATGAAAGGAAAAGTATGATAGGTATTATGCTAAAGAAAACTAACTGAACTTTGTTGTATTGAAAGATTACAAATATTATTGTATACTTCTGAGTCTCCCAACTTAGAACGAAAAGAAATAATAGGTATATTTTTAAAGTAGGTTTAATATTTAAGTGCGCACTTTTTAATCAGTCGGTCGGGAAAGGTAAAAAAGAAGGATATGGAGATAACGAACAGTATTCAGTATCAAAGTCCATAAAACAGGGTTAGGGTTAAAAACATTTTTTAAAGATGGCCTTTACTAGAATACACTTTACAGAAATGATATTTAAGGATTGCAAAGAACACTAATGCTACTGTACCATAAAAGTGTTTACGATTGCAGTATGGTCTCATCTAAAATAATGAGTGATGTCAGTTTTATTACTTACCTATTGCTTACCTTTTCTCACTCATAAGGTGGTGGTTTTACACTTGTCATACTAAGAAAATAAAAGTTTGTGTAATTATTTGAAATACAAAATTAAATCTTGTTGGGATAATAAATCTAATCAGACGTGTTCCCAAGTGTTTCTAGATTTACTCAAAAGAAGCATCATTGGAAAATGATATTAAAATTAATCCCAGTTGCATACTTAAGCATTTTAACGAAAAGAGTGAGAAAAAAAACATGTTTTCTCGATTTCATATTTGTTGCTAAGTAATCTTAAAATTTTTTAAAAAAATATTTCACATGTTTTTCATTCTTATATTAAATGGAAGTTCTATTTGTTAAACTAACGAATATTACAATACATAATGATAAGTTGTCTCTATAAATTCCATAAGATATTTGTTTTTTAAAAACATTTTAAATCTGAAATAGAAATATCGGCTGAAAACTACTAAAATGAAAACAAACCGTTTATTTTTCTTCTTTATCATCAGAATTGCTACAGTCACAGCCACCAATACGACAATACAGCCCAGCACTACTCCAATTATCCACAACTTTTTGGCCTCTTCCTTGCATTCTATTTATACGACAATACATATCAATTTAATAATTTGGGGATGGGGGTTGCATCTGAAATAGGTGGTATCACAAATATTCATATCTTTTGGTTTTTATTCATAAAATCCACGACTTATAAAAACTCCTCCGTTATATATACGCTTCAGAATTTGGATTTTTAAAAAAATGAAATATATGGAGATTTCGAACAGTATTCAAATTCATAAGTCCATAAAACAATACAAAAAAGGGGAAGATAAATTACAGACCTCCAAAACATCAGAGGTGGGGTCAGGCGACATAAAGGAGTGCCGACAGGGCACACCCGCCGTGTGCTCTGTGTCCATTATTTTCCCGTTATTTCCTGATCATGACAAGGAGCACACGGCGGCTGTGATCCGTCAGCAGATGATGATCACTCCTCCATGGCACCTGATCCCACCTCTGATGTTTCGCAGGTCCGTGTTTGTTCTGCTCCTATTTTGTATTGTTTTATGGACTTTGAGATTAAATATTGTTGTATAAAAGATTGGATTTTCTGACAATGACATTGTATCGACCATAGATCTTACGTAATGATGACGTTCAATGAGGCAGCTGATATTCTTGATTCATCGACTTGTTTGTCGATAATTTGACTCGTTTTAGAAATTGTTCAAAGGTAGAACTGCTCTTGCAGATCGAATTAACTGATGTAAACCCTATATGCAAGGGAAGTTGAAGTGCTAAACCCGGAAGAATAACTCCAAAAATTCATATTTAATTTGAAAGGCATCAAAAAGAAGCTTGAAAATAAATTTTTCTCATGCAATAATTTTCATTATATTTTTTATCTTTATAAGAATCAATGTTTTTGGAAGTTTTAGAAAAGGTCTTATAAAATTTGACATGTGTACCCTATAAAAGGATAAAAATTAATACAGTTTTTGAGAAATAAGGTTTTCTTGAGTCCAGCCTTAGATACCAATGATTATTAGCATGATATGAAATAAGAAGTGATTTATGGTGTCTCGCAATGATAGCAAAAGCCTTTTACACTATGTATTATAGAATACATGAAAATATCATGACAATTTCTCTGAATGTCTAAATACCTATCATTTTTTAACCTAAAATATATTTGTTGATCAATTTGCATTTAGAAAATGCTTAGCTGATATTCCCATTCGCTTTTTCTGCAAAAATATTGGCGATTTGACGATTTTCCCTTTATAATATGACTAACTTTAATCTGTAACTATAAATAAAAAAAATGGATAAATTTACCTAACTTTGTGGATTCAGAGATACTTTTATGAGTAGTTTTGATAACTTAACTCCTAATTTTATAAACCTGAGGATCGGACTACCTTAAAATTTAATTGAAATGTATTGAAATTAAAAGGTATTTTTTCTTTGTTATAAATTGAATTAGAGTAATATATTTCTAGGAAGTGAAAGAATGTAAAACATATAACTGCAATTACTTTTTCAGTTATACTATCAAATTTTAATGTTACATTTCTAAATAATATCTTTACAATAACCATTATCGTTTTCGTATAAATATTCTGATACTAATGAAATAGGGCGATATTAAAACAATATAAATTAAAAAAATATATACCTTCATACAAACTTTGTTTTGTCCATGCAAATGCATCTGATTTGTACTTGCAAACGTTACATTTATTTGCCTCATCTTGCGTGTTATCCGCTATGCAACGCCCATTAACAAAGCAAAACCCATCCTAAAATTTGTAAAAAAAAGAAAAAAAAATGCTTTCTTAATAATAATGTTTCATATGAATAAAAATATATATTGTGATTCATTTTTCTTTTAACTTACCCGTAAAACAAATCTCAATTCCCCGGACACATTCATTGTATCTTGACAAGTTGAGTCCAATATATAAAGAAGATGGGAGAGGCTAAAGATTTTTCCATTGTTGCTGACTGATATCCGATATCCAGTGACGAAACTGTTTGAATTTCCGACAGGGGACCTTCGCTTTCGTGATGGTGGGAAGGGACAACGAACATTAGATAAAGTGTTGTGTTCACCCCGCACATCATCAACTTCTTTATATGCTATGGGTCCTTTGTATGGAATCTGAAGTAAAATAAAGCTAAATATATTTTGAATGCATATTTTTTGTATATAGTGTTTAGTGCATTGCATTTTCATTCACAACTAACAGCAAAATCCTTCGAAATAATGAATTAGACCAACCCCTAATTGCTTACTTCACACAACCTACCTGAGATAACATTAAATGATTAAAAAATTGAGTCTCAAAATCTTGCCTCAAATCTATGCATTCTACATGTGAGATTCGGAGTGTCCAGAAATAAATCTCCTTCAACAAAGGCATCTAAGCAATGTTGAATATCACACAACCCTCCATCTACCGTATTGACACCGTCTAATATTGGTGGATCGTTTTTATTCATTGAGCAATCAGCAGCTGTATAATCATCATCGCATTTACATGTACCTATAAATAAAAATAACTGTAATTTCACATAAAACCAATTCTAATTATTGAAATTTGTTTGAAGATTTTGAAAGTACTAAGAAAAAAACATCATACCAATTAAAAAAATTGTATCTTGTGCTGAAAGATTCGATGCAAAAGGTCATAAAATGCAAATGGAGAAAAAAGAATCAAAGAGCAAGAGCCACTTTGGGCCTTATTTGGCCCTGAGAATTTTTGAAAAATCAAAACCGCTCAGTTTAGGTTGCAAATGCAGTATTTATCACTTGGATTGTTGATGACCATTTATCTATTTATCGTGACGTAATTTTACATCTAGTCAATGCATTATGACGTCATGAAATGCGTCAATTTCCTCATATCCTGTAAATTCCTTTGAAAATGACCTAAAATTGGAGCATTTTTTAAATATTTTATATAGAGCACAACCTCTGATCCAAAATATGCAAATACATAATGAAAGCTCTATTTCTGAAGATCAAAAAACATGTTTTATTTTTTGGATCGTGCGGTGTGCTCATATTTTAATTCTTTGCTGAAGGTAGTCAAATACGCTTGTTTTCTGCAAATTTCAATAACATTGCAATTTCTAAACGCCTGTTTTCCAATATGCAGATTCTCAAAACGAAATTTTATTATAGAAAATGTAAGCACCAAGTTTCTAGTTTACTTTGATATATGAAATGGGAAAGAGGGTGATAGTTAATTAATTGATATAATCACATGGCCATTTTATGCATAAGATGGCTCTTGCTCTTTGATCCTTCAGCTTTTGGCTTTGTGTTCAATAAGGTTTTATTAAGGTGGAGACATTCATGACTATGTTTCATTACAGCGATTTAAAGGTATCATCTGACAACCATATAGTACGACACTTTGTTATTTGAAGTTTTAGCTCAAATTCAAAGGAGTCTTTTAGAGTCATTTTAACTTAACGTATAAAATTTCATTACAAAACCTTTTATAGATTTAGAAAACATTTTTTGTATGATATAAATTTTTGACAACCTTTTAGTTTATATATCAAAAGGGTTCTTCTTTAAGTCATTGGGAGCTATGGCATAAAAGCACCGCTAACGGATAAAAAATAAGCAAAATATGTCTGTGGCTCGTTCAGGAATGGAAAATGAGAATTATATGTAAAATTACACAATATGGAGAGAGCTTTCTTGCTTGTTACAATCAAGAATTCATCCTGGTGATGATTTTAGTTTGTCATTTGGATTGTTTGTACTATATATATTTCTAATATGCGATGGTGACGCCAAACCCCGATGTTTCGTTGTCTTTATAGACGCCAAAGTTCGATGGTCACGCCAAAGTCCGATGGCTTGTTTCCCATGAGATGCGATGCGCTAAAGTGCCATTGTCTGATACGCCAGTGTCTAATTTTGCAAAGGAAAGTCAACGTTTATGACGTCACAATAGTTCAATTTTACTGATTTGGCTTATAGTTTTCATCCACCAGAGGTAATAGGGTTGGTCCCCTCACACCACTTGACTGATTAAAGTTAATCCTTGGGTAAACTTTACTTTACCTGTCCCCAGATCTGCAAAATCCTCCGGCTCATTAGACTATGACGTAACATTGACGTCAGTCAACTTATAAGTGTTAAACTTGAATACTATTTGATTGATTGATTGATTGTATATTGTTAAACGCCCCTCTCGAGAATTGTAAACTCATATGGAGACGTCACCGATGCCGGTGAAGGGCTTCAAATTTAGACCTATACTCGGCACTCAAGGCCATTGAGCAGTGAGGGTTCTTTATCGTGCCAACGCCTACCGTGACACGGGACCTACGTTTTTAAGGTCATGTCCGAAAGACGCGTGACTTTCACTTCTAGTGCCGAGCGCTTGGCGAAGGAACAGTAACTACCTATGTTTACGTCTTAGGTATGACGCAGCACCGCGATCGAGAATCGAACCCGGGCCTCCCGATCTACAGATTAGGAATAGTGTAGCATCTTCCCGGAAGATTTCGTCTAAAAGCCTAAGCCCTTGCATACCATCCGAGAAATTAAGGTTAGTGACTCGTTCTCTTAGATAAATTATGAAATTCGATTGTTTCTGTAAGTTTTGCAAGATCATAATTCAGCTTCAACGGCATTTTGTTGGTTTTGTTTACATGGAAGAATGGCTAAGTCCGAAAGAAATGTCACTAATTATGCACCGCACGCGCTTCATTTAGAATTATTCTTTGTCGATTTTTTCCACAAATAAGCAATATTCATTAATATTTTCAGAGAACAAGGTCAACAACTTCGTTTAAAAATGAAGTTTTAAACTAAACTTTTAACCGTAGAATTCGATTTTGGGGTCAAAAAGGCCAAAAACTTTGTATTTTTAATTTTTGTCGATTGCTCACGCGATCTCTTATTTACTAAAGTCGCCTTCGGCGACACTACAGTTTAGCGCGTTTTACTGGGTACTATAAAGTCAAGTCGGTCTCACTATTCGACTGATTTAGATTTGTTCAGCATCTACCCAAGATATTTAGGCTATTATTGATTACACATTTTTCGACTGATTATAGTTATGATTATGGGGTAAATCTTGCACTTATATCCAAAATATAAGGGAAAATCTTTGCATTTGATATTTAATTGTATTTATTTTAAATGATCGGGCCTTGGCATGGCACGGAATCCCGTTTTTGCGTAGTAGTACAGTGACGTCATAAACGTTGTTTTATGCACCATCTGAATGATTATATGTTTTAATGAAAATTTAAATTGTTTGATACTTGTGTATGAACTTTTTTCTTATTATCATTTCTTACCATTATTGCATTGTCCATGATTATTGCATTCTCCAGGGCACGTTACACTGAGAATTTCATTCACAATGGATTTTCCGTCTTCTTTCTTTGTTTCATTTTGTAGAGTATTATTTTGCTGAAGTTCTTTGAAGCACAGAGACTTTAAGCCCTCTCTTGATGCAGTCGCCCAAGATGTAGAATTGGTAAGCTGATATTGTATTTTTGAAACGATTTTAGTATGAACATATTATTAGTTAACCAGGTTCAATCAAGGGTGTACGGGGATTTACCCCGGGTTTTATTCCATACACCTTGAGGCCGCAGGTGTATGAAATAAAACCCGGGGTAAATCCCCGTACACCCTTGATTGAACCTGGATAACGAATTTATTTCCTTTGTACCCTTTGTACCCTCAAAATGCTTTGTAAACATCAGCGTGTGTCTCAATCTATCGATTAGATAACTACGTACTACAATATGCATCGTGACGTCATGTTATTTCGTTCTTATCATAGAGAATTATGCATTGTGACGTCACGTTTTATTTACACCCGGCTCAAGTCGGGTGCACGGATATTTACACCCGACTTTGTAACCAATCAAAGATAGTGTTACAAGCTAGATAGGAAATAAATGTGTATGTCTAATTAGTAAGGGGAAAACAAACATACGGAGCTTTCAATGAACAAAAACATAAACATTAACCTCCTTTAATACTTTAGACGTTTGTTACAACGCACTTTGAAAAATTACGCACTTTGAAAAAAATTTTCAAAGTGCGTTAAGTTTTGGGACCAGGTTAACGCACTTTGAAAAATTTTTTCAAAGTGCGTTGAATTTGGGACCAAATCAACGCACTTTGAAAAATTTTTTCAAAGTGCGTTAAAACTGTACATCATAATTTTACACCATGTAAACATTTAACGCACTTTGAAAAAATTTTCATAAAACAAAAGGAATTAGACTTATATTTTAGAATAGACAACAGTATTATCCCCTCGCAACGTATGATGGGATATAGTGATGCGATTATGTGTGTTATTACTTTATGTGTATGTTAGTTTTTTCTGTGTGAAATTGACGTAATTTGTATCGGGATCGATGTCAAATGATTTACTGAACATGCTTTTTTGGGAAGGAATGCTCCGCTTTGCGGTGCCCTTACTTTGATGTGTTTCTTTCTAAAAACCGATGGATTGAAGAAAACCAAGAAACGGAAAACGAAGAAAAGACTGGCTGAATTAAGGTCTATCAGCTCAACTCTTTATTATTCCCACCCAGATATATCTATTTTTATAACTCGTTACCTTAAGTGTCAATGATATTTGAAAAAATTAGCATTCTAAATACAGTATAAGCACTGTACAAGGAAGTCTGTAGTAAATCGAAATTTTGTTCTTTTAAATCTCAAAGTCTATTTATGTTCATTTTCAGGAAAATCAGAATATTTCGCGAGTATTTATCGGGAACTGGCTCTCAAACGTCAAATCGCTAGAAAATATAATTCGCGAATGAACGGTTAATGAACAGATTTTACATAGATTTAAGCACCAGAAAAATAAAAGCGAGTAATATTTTTTTTGCGAGTGATACTTCTCGCGAAATTACGCAGAAATTAATTCCTCGCTTATATTAAGGAATCTACAGTACCTGTCTGCTTTTCGATGTTAATTTGATACCATATCTGATAATCTCTCTGTTAAACTCCAGGTATTTAAAAACACAAGTTTTGCCAAAATTATAGAGTTATTTCTCTTTGGTATCCCAAATAAGTAAGGTTTTATGAAAATTCATATAAATATCTATAATTTTTTTAGAATCATTCCAATATGT